CGGCCGCGCCCCCGCCGCGGTCTTCCGCTCCCGGCGCCCCGCTTCCCGCCGAGGCCTCCCCGCCGGCCCTCAGGCCGCGGCCCTACCACAGGCCGGCCGCCGCCACCACTACCTGCCTCGGGGCTCGTCCTCAGCTGCTCCGGCTTGGGCCACCTTTTCAAATGGAAACCGTTGTCGCCGCCGCCGCCCGGGCCGCCCCGTTCAGCCTGCGACCGAACAGCTCCTCCATACCCCGCGCCCCACAGGAATGAATCCGGCCGCGCTGCTTGCTCCGCCCCGCCTCGCGACTGTCTGCACCCGCCCTCCTAGGCCGTTCGGCGATGCAGCGGCTAGCGCGGTGGATGGCGTAATGGGCCGCGGGCCCGGGGGCCGGACAAGCCAGAGCACTGCTTCACATTACTGACGCCGCAGTCGCGCCTTTGGGTCGGGGTAGGGCGGTGACTGCCGCCAGCAACCGCCTAGAGGCGGGGCAGGGCGGGGAGGCTGAGGCGGGGCCCCATGGGAAGGGACTGCCAGCCCGAGCTCCCGGAAAACGCGCCTGCGTGGTGAGGGAAGGGGAGAGCCGGGCGGCGCGGAGCGAGGAGGGGGCGGAACCCAGGCGCTTGCCGGAGAGGATGCGCCTGCGTGGTACAGAAAGAGGGCGGAGCGCCGCAGACAGGGGCGGGGCTGACCCGTGCTGCCTGGCCACTAGGCGGAAATGTGGGATTTGGGAAGCTGTGGAAATTTAGGGGGCTAAATCCTCTTTTTCCCGCTCTTGCGCGAATCTAGGAATCGTGCTGCCAGGGAGCACACAGTGGAGTGGTAACCAATATTACTATCCCCCTCACCAGAACAATCTCAAACTAGTCTTTTCCGACCTTCCATTGATGGGCTCTAAATATGGCAAACTTGTAATTAATTGAACATCAAAACAGAAACACAACACAAACATCAGAAAATGAGATTCATTTGGAGGCTGCCTAATGACTTTTTTAAGTGGCCACTGAAAACCATGGAATGGCAAAAAAACACCCTAAGGGCATCATAAAACCAATGGGGTCATGTTCATGAGTTCTTGAATTCTAAATAATAAAACCAAGAAATGAAAAGAAAACTAATAAGCCTATGTAAATAAAAGAAATCAAGTACTTCATACCGAAGGAAACCTTTAGAATTCATGATGTTAAGACCTAGAATCTAAGGTGTTGCTAAAACTTCCCTGGGGGAGAGATGTAAATAATTTCCATCTCTCCTCCCAAATTCCCTAGGACAAACTGAGGTACAATTCCACTAAGGTGCTCTGGGAAGTCATTTTATAGTCTTGCTCAGAGGGTGAGGGATTACGTACAGGAGTGTGGGTGCCAGGCAGCACTGGAAAATCTTCACCCAAGCATGGATAATGGCGTCCCCTAAACAACATAGCCCTTCCCTCAGTCTTCCCCAGCCTAGACACTCTAACCCATCCCCCAGGCCCCTGAGCAATTAGCCTCAAATTGCCCACCACCTGTGGGGATTGTGGATAGATACTTAGGTGAAGGTCCCATGACTCTCCCTCCCCTTCCTTCTTTGGGGGAGGGGGACCATCCACTGTCTACAAGCCCAGCAATGATCTTCGGCAAGCTAGTACCTCCGAGCTGGAGAAGATGGAGTTCAACCGAGGATAGTCCTGTACAATATATATTAAACTAGGTTGAGAAGTGTTCAAATGTGTCTTGAGAAGTTAATACCCATTATGAATAATGAGAAAACAGGTTTTGAAGACGGACTTTTAATCTCTTGAACACACAATTTCTTAGTGCCACTAGGAAAAAGAAAATATTAGAGTAGACTACATTTCACCATCAATATAATCATCATGACCATGCAACACTAATACTAAAAACTTTTGGGGGGGATCTGGAGAGATGGTTCAGCTGTTAAGAGCACTGACTGCTCTTGCAGAGGACCCGGGTTCAATTCCCAGCACCCACACGGCTGCTCCAAACCGTCCTTAACTCCAGTTCCAGGGGAATCCAAAGCCCTCTTCTGACCTCTGCAGCATTGCACAACACGGGTGCACTCACATACATGCAGGCAATACACTCATACACATAAAAAAAAAAAAAATCATAGCCCTAAATATGATTAAGATGTATGAAATGTACGAGAATTTAATAAAAATATCTACTGAAAAATCATAGTAGACTTCCTTTTTACATATTCACTTATGTTACACAGAAGTTTCACATAATAGAACCATGATTTTTGTGCAAATCATATTTCCCTTTGTCCCATTTTAAGCCTTTCTTATGTCGCTACACTTTTTTTTTTTTTACAATTTCATACATGTATATGAATCTTTTTGAGACAAGGTTTTATGTCGCCTTGGCTTCAAACTCATTATGTAGCTAAGGATGCCCTTGAACTCCCAATTCTTGCCTCTATCGCCCAAATATTGAGGATTACAGATTTATACCACAACATTCATCTTGTTTGTACAGTCTTAATAATCATTTTGAAGTGGGACACGTTCTCCTTGGGAAGTCAGTGTATATACTCACCATCAGATCCTCAGAAGTGAAGTTAAGGTTTATACCACAATAAGAAAACCTGAGATGATTATATGCTTTCCTAAACTCAATGTGCTGGAATGCATTCAAGGCATCTTGCTGGTCCATTTCCCGACTATTTTCAATAGCTTCATCTTTACCAGCTTAAAAAAAAAAAAGAGCCAGGCTTGGTGGCACATGCCTTTAATCCCAGCACTCACTCAGGAGGCAGAGACAGGCAGACCTCTGTGAGTTCAAGGCCAGCCTGGTCTACATTGTGAGTTCAAGGCCAGCTGAGGCTACAGCTGTCTCAAAAATGCCAAAAAAGAGAGAGAGAGAGAGAGAGAGAGAGAGAGAAAGAGAGAGAGAGACAGGTATACCTTTCACTCACTGGAACATAAATGTAAAAACCTCAAAGTCCTTTTTCAATTCTTCATCAATTGAAAATATTGAGCTGTCTTGAGAAAGTATACACTTTCAATGACTGGGTAATAAATTCTCTTGTTAGATAACTTCAAAATAATTGCTGTCAGTAAGATATGATAGAAATCTTACTAAATGGGTTTATGAATTGGAAGGAGTTGATAGAATTGAGTAGAACAGATAGAAAAGAAAAAAGTCAGACCTACCCACTTATTCACATGAAAATATTTCCTCAGAATTTATGAAAACAAAAACCTGAGAAAACATTGATGCTGAATTCTGTCTCATTCTGTGAATCCAACACACTTCTGTTGTGACCTGCTGCTTTTCTCATTCTGGTAAGAAGTGATATTTAACAACAAACATATGTACAGGTTATAAAAGACTATTTTTAATAATTAGAAAAATGCGCATCTTGCTCATTTTGAGTATTTGATTATGAATATAATGATTCCTCAGTTCAGAACATGCTCAGCAGAGAGATATAATAGTGTGATTGATTTAAAAACTTTTCAAATAAAAAAATATATTAATCAGGATATATTCCTGAGGGGTGGAGCTATGGAATTGAATTATGAGTGTAAAGAAAAAAAAGTCATGTAAAATAGTCCAGAAATAGAATTTGCTCATGTATTTTTAAATGGTTGGTGGTAGGCATAATTGCTGCAATATTTATTTCATTAGATTCACTTGTAAGCACAGCTAGCTGTCTTACTTCTAAAATATTAAAATGTAATATGGGTTAAATTGTATCCTTTGCAATTACTTAAACTTATGATAAAATTTTAGATGTCAATTGAAAAATATGCAAGAAAATAGATTTTATCTATATGACCAAAAATATTTGTTTTCGTGATCTTAGCCAGTCTGACTGGGGTAAGGTGAAATCTTAAAGTGGTTTTAATTTGCATTTCCCTGATTATTAGTGATGTTGAACATCTTTTGAGATGTTTCATAGCCATCTTTACTTCTTCTTTTGAAAACTTTCTGTTCAGCTCCTTAGTCCATCTTTCAATTGGGTTGCTTCTTATTTTGGGTCTCTGTTTTTTAAGTTCATTATATATTCTGGTAATTAAACCTCTATCAGATGTATCGCTGGTGAAGATTTTCTCCCATTCTGTGGGTTTTCTGTTTGTTTCCTTGGTTGTCTCCTTCGATGTACAGAAGCTTTTTAGTTTAATGAGGTCCCACTTGTTAATTCTTGCCCTTGTTTCCTGGGCTATTGGTGTCCTCCTACACCTATATCTTGTAGGTTTTCCCCAACGTTTTCTTCTAAGAGTTTCAGAGTTTCAGGCTTTACATTGAGGTCTTTGAGCCATTTGGAATTGACTTTTGTGCAGGGTGAAAGATAGGGGTTTAGTTTCATTCTTCT